GATCGTGAAGTTGATGAGAAAGCCGGCCATGGAGAGCGGGAGAAAGTCCGGTTCAGGAGACGACGAGCATCGACGGTGGCGTGGCAAGACTGGCAGACGCAACGGGTCGCGGCGAGGCTGCGTGGTGGGAGACGGCGGAGGACCTCCGCGAGCACTTCCTCGGGTAGCCGCTGCGTCTGGTCCATCTCCGCCACTGCTGGATCGCCGCCTTGCCTTGCTCTTCTCTCGGCATTGGTGTCCAACAAGAAAACCACCCTTATCTCGGGCTCGAGGCTGATCTATTCTCTCCTCGGGATGCCCACAAGAATAATTAGAGGACTGGAGCTACTCCTGAATCCTGATCCGAATGACCCAAAACACTCTTTCACGAAAAACACTCTTTCACGAGCGAGCCTCCGGACGCCTGAGATTGTAAAACATACCACTAGACTTCCGGAGATTAAAAATTACAGTAAACCAACAGTAGAGAAAAGGGACAACTGCAAACGTCTTCGACATATCAGGCTTTAAAGATAGCAAATGATCCATCGTCCCTTGACACGAGATCTAGAAGTCAGCTGAAGAAGCATTGGCTCAAGCATCACCCCACGCATTACATACTTGCAATCCATCACCCCCGGTCCAGAGGGTTGGAAAAACCCGCACCATGCCGCAGCCGGCGCCGGAATGGACGTCGTCAAGGTAGGGAGGGGAGAGCGGAGAGTTCTTGCTCCAACACGTCATCATCGCCACCACCTTGTTGATGTCACAAAGGAAACAAAAACTAAGGAGAACAGAAGGGAACAGACAGACGGGCTCCTCTTGCCACCAGGCGAGGAAGAGGAGGGGGGCCGCTGCAGTGGTGTGTGGGGTTGAAACTTGACGGCAACGGCTTAGGGTTGAGAGAATTGCACTTCCTATGCCATGATTTGTGACTGAGATTTAGAGCACCTTTAGCAGACCCCATAAAATCCCAATCTGCATAAGTGTTTTGCAGTTCGCGGAAAAGTGCATATGTAGGCCGGCGCGGGCGAGGTCACACTCAGACCCCGTATAATCAACCCGTAAAGAAAATATTCTCCGAATATACCAAACAGACCCACAACTTGCTTTTTTTAGTCGTCTTCTTCCTCGCGTAAATCCGGCGGACAGACGGACGAGGGAAAACGCGAGACGAGCACGGCGCGGGCGGAGGCCAGGGCGGCGCAAGCGGCGGCCGGATCGAACCGCGGGTGCATCGAGCTAGCTCTTCGAATCGATTGAGCTGCTAGCTAGATAGCTCCGTTCAATGGATTGAGCTAGCTAGCTAGCTCCGCTCGAGAGCCGCGGAGCCACGGGCGAGCGCGGCGGCCGGGACGAAGGGCCGGCCGGCTATCGGACGGCCGGCGGGTGAGCGCGGTGGCCGGGCGGCGGACGGCTGCGGCGGCTGGGCAAACTTCATGGTATTGGCGGAAGCAAAGATTCCTCAACCGCCAACTTTGACCGCAACTACAATAGAAAACAGCCTTGTGGTAGAAGAATAGAAAAATTCATCCTGGACCGTCAAATCGAAGATGGATGGCCCGTATTTTAGTGGTGGATTTGTGCGCTCTTCTTTGCAGAATAGTCCCTTACTTCTGTTTTTTTTTGCTTCGATCTCCTCTCTTCTTTTGACCTGTCATCTCCTTCTTCCTTCCGATGTGAGCAGCGGCGGCCGAGGCTCGAAAAAAAAAATCCCCAATCCTAAAGGCAAGCCCATCTTCCTCTAGCTTGCCAATGACGACGGGGGTGTAGATCCTGTACCTAGATCGGCGACCTTGGCCACTGTAGGCACCGTTCCATCTCCGCCCCAACGAATCTAGGTCGTCTCGCCGGCGGCGGTCGCCGGTCGGGCTGCCCGGGCGGACCTCTTCTGTGCTGCGTTGCGACACTGGGCGAGCAAATCTCCAGGTATCGTTCTCCGACGTCTAGAGGACAACCTCGATCTACCATGTTCTTACCCCATCGAGTCATTGTCCACATGTGGCTTCTCGATCTACTATTTTTCTTGCCTCATCCAGCCATTCTCCACAGGTAGCCCGCCTACCCCCATGCCTAGCTCGGACATCTGCTGATGGCAAAGAACAGACCTCGGGTCTTCAGGAATGCAGGTCTGCCATGCACCAAAATGGTTCTTTCAATTGAGATGAAATTAGGAAAACAGTACAATCAGCCACATTGCCCTTCTTCTTGTTCCATCATATAAGTATCTTGAGCTTTGGTGCGCACCTTATTAAACATGATCCATTATATGAAGTTCTAGAAAACGTTGTTACTGACCCATTCTGGTTGTTGTGATAAGGAAATCACACTTGATTATTTTCAGGACCTCTGGAGACCCTTGCCACATGTGATCGAATGTAGATGAAAAGAGCGTAAAAACTAATAGAATGGAGTACCATTTCTGGGAATAAATGATCATTCAATGGGTAAGTATCTTCTTGTTGGATCTATGGTTATTTTTTCTTATTCCCAGAAAGCTTTCTATATTTGAGTTAAGATTTCGTCATACATGAACAAACAGGGAGAAAATATTTTCAGTTTGCTTGAACCAAAAGATGCTGATGCATATTCTTTCTTCTATCGCCTGTAGCCGAGGATAGTACAACGATTGTACCGCAACCTCACTCCTCAAACTCGCTGACTCGTTTTGTAGCTAGCCCTGACCTCTGTAGTTTAACTAGCAGCAGAGCACCTCTGTAGTTTAACTAGCAGCAGAGCACCTGGCCTGTGTAGCAGCCATTCGAATATTCTGCTATCACTTGTTGCGTGCCTGCCCCAACAACATAACAGAAGCAAGTATATATCCTCTTTGTTAACATGTATATAGGTCAGATCGTTTGATGTATTGCTGTTGTTGTACAGAAAAATCATGTTGCCGATCCATTGCTTGAGGAATTTGATGATTTGGGCTTTATTTTAAGCAGAGGCAAATGTTTTCCGTTAGTTAATCTGATGTACTAGTATTAGTAGTCAAAGATGAACTTGATAGCAAGGAAATCAAAACAAGGACAAGAATTCTTTCTGCCAAATTAACCCACCACGTGCTAAGCAGTGAGTCCATGAGTACCAACACGTGCACATCTAGCTACCTCTAGCTAATGGGAAATTAGCAAAAAAGTGAGCTGTGTAACTAGAGAACAAACAACAACCATTCAAAGATTAGCAGCAGCCATCGCGAGAAGATTAACAGGTGAGTGAGCAAAGGGACAAGAAGGTGCCATCGTGGTCGGGCATCGTTTTGCTTTAGTGAAACAATTTTGTTAGCTCTTTGCTCTTTTCCTCATTTGGTTGTAATAACACTCTGATTGTAAAATAAAGGCAAAAAATTTACCTCTTTGTATGCAAGAAATAAGCTCTCCCCTGTATGGCAGAATTTATACCTGACCAAATTGTTATTGCAAGTTTAGTGATGATATTAAGTGAAGTGTACAAATGACTATGCAGCATACAGTTCTCTTCCTGCTAGTCAAATGATATTATTAATGCATACTCATTAGATTAGCTCAGGAGCAAATATTTTTAAGTACGGATGTGTGATACATACATGGTCTTGTGCTCAAACTGATTCCTATATGTTTGATGTCATCTTTCCAGCACATAAAACTTGATGAGCAAGAAGCACGAGCACCGGAGGCAAGCGCTACAACTTTTCTATTCTCTGCATTCAAGATAGCACAACACTAGAAATGTCCATGCCATGTTATGTATTGCATGTCTCTTGTGTATCTTCTGCTGCTCCAGATTGATAATGTACTCGACATTAGTGAGTGAGATGGTCCAGACTCTAGAGTGACATGTACTCAAATATTTGTGCCTGAGATGGTTTCACATGTACTCAGATCTTTATGCCTGGGATGGTCTAATTAACTAGACGTGTTCTCAACCATTTATGTGTGGGATGGTCCAGTTTCACATCTACTCAGATCTTCATGCCTGGGATGGTCTAACTTGACGTGTGCTCAACTATTTGTCTGGGATGGTTCAGTTTGACATATACTTGAATGAGATGGCATAAATTTAATGTGTTTGCAGATATTGTGATGGATATTGGCAAAAAAAATTAGGTGCCAGCATGTTCAATTTTTGCTTGTAGAAGCCATTATTTGTACTCAAGTATACATGCAACAGATATGTGCAAAGATGAGGCCTCAACGTTGAGAGGATTTGAAAATTTGTCTTATTTACCGAGGACAAAACGATTAAATATGAGAAAGTTGAGGTGATTACTATAAAAAATGTGTTTTATATCTACATATTAGCAGGGGGTTTTCCATAAAATGTCCATGAAGTGGACTGGGATATCTCCACTAGAATATGGGCCATCCATCTTCGATCTGACGGTCCAGGATGGATTTTTCTATTCTTCTACCACAAGGTTGTTTTCTATTGTAGTTGCGCTATGCAGGGCCGTGACAAAGTTGCCCTCAAAATTGTAAATACGAGGGTTTCGCGTTTGCGTTTGCAGGGCCCCTTAAGGGATCTGCTCGGGCTCGTTTTTTCGACTGAAACTGCAAAAAACGGTTATTTTGCGGGTTTGACCACTTATGCGGGGTCTACTAGAGATACTCTTACCCAAACATGAGGCGGGTGAGAACTAGCAAAACCATATACAAAGTTACATTGCATTGTCGTTCTGAATCAGAGGGGAAAACTGAAGAAATCTACGTATTGCAGGAAATGTATACAAGGCCCACGATGAGCCCCCCCTCGGGCTACATCAAAGCATGAAAGATAATGACCCCAATAACTAAAAACAAGCAGCAACAAGCAACATCATCCGATACTCAAATGGAACAACGCCAACAACATGCAGCATTTCCAGCACACCATAAACGCCTAACCATATTCAGTGATATTACCAGTTGCACATCTCGAGACAGATCATGAGTCGTAATACATACAAGCTTTCGCGTCAACGTCATATGAAATGGGACTAACTTGTCGACAAGAGCAAGTCTGATAATGCATACTGACATTTCAGCGAAAAGGAAATTGCGAGCTTAATCTTCAGCTTCTGTTGGCGTGTAGACAGCTTCAACTTCAGTGATTGTAGCCTCAGCCTCACCGATCTCAGTGCCTTGTTCATTTGACTCCTTCAACTCCGCCTGTGACAGGATAACCAAACATTTGTTCAAGTAGCTCAAGACAAGGTTTGCTGCAGAAAATTTCATATATAGGTAGAAATTCCTGCACAATACCAGAGTTGCTTTCAAGTCTGTCAGTGCAGCTTCAAGTCGCTTATGGCAGTCTGGGACCATCATCCTCGACTCAGCTAAAACATTTTCCTGCACATGTAGAAGGCATTAAGATAAGATGTACTACCAGGATCTTCACATTGATAAAGTGACTTGGAAGAGGAGCAGGGAGACCAATAACTAAGTGCTCCCGTTGCATGTCCAAAAACGGACCCTAAGATGTCGATGCAGGTATGAGATCAATCAATATGAAACAACTATCTTTTCCAATCCCAATTACATCAAAACCAATTTCATAACTCATCAAGCATATGTATGCCTTAAATATCTTGCCATGTCTGATAATACTAATAGCTATATGTAAAACCCAGAAGAATGTGAACACGGTAGTACTCTGAAGAATGCATATGCCACTTGTTCATTCAATACGCAATTCTGCTTCTGAGTTAGAACTCTTTCCATTCTGATGCTCTATACAGTGCCTTACATCTAGTAAAAATTTGACAAATGTAATTGTTTTTTAACATAAAAAATCTTGGCTGAAGGAAAGATAGGTTTTATATCAAGCAATCCACATGGACTGAGCGCAAAGAAACAGAAATGGGTAATCCACATTCAAAGAGCCACAAGAGACGATACATGCTGAATTTTTTTATGCCGGGCCTTAAGGATAAATAACTGGGATGGACTAGAAGCAGAGACCTGACGTTCCAACCAACATAAAACCATTACATAGGCTGCATTGACAGAAGTTAGCAGTAATATCATGGATACCCAGCCGTAACAATGCACAGATTACTATGTACCAACCAACCAACCAACCAATCAGAGTAACAGTTGACAAACATCAAAATGTTACTCAGGCCAACCAACCAATCCTCAAGGCTTCACATGGTAGATCCCTCTACACTTATCCACAACAAGTTCAATGACATGCCATTCTAATAACAAAATTTATTTTAGGAAATCAATAACAGAATATGTGATTGGCCTGCCCATTTTACCAAGAACTGATTAATTAGTGGCCATATGACACAAATAACTACCCACCAAGCAAGTAGTGACTAGATCAGCATCCATAAACTAATGAAACCATGCTCCAAGGGACCATTCTAAGGATAACTAACATATGATCCTACTATTACCAGTAAGTACTATACATGGTCGGTAATTGTGTTGTTAATTAAACAAGAAGAACTGTAAGCAGAACTGCTGAATGAGAGATCTTGAGTCACCTGCTGCTTGAGATCATAGGGGTCGGCGCCCTTCTCCTTCATGTCGGCGGTCTTGGCGGCCTCCTTCTCCACCTCCTTCTCGTAGGAGCGCAGCTCCTTGACGATCCTCTTGCACGTGGACGTCTTGATCTTCAGGTTCCTCAGGGTCGCCATTCCGAGATGCGACGAGGGCCGGGATCTGGATGGCGCACCGACACACCCAAAAAATCGCGGAGGTTAGTTCGGGTTCAAGTAGTCACTGGATTGAGATCCAATCCAATGATTCGGCGCTCTTTTTCTCCTCGTCAAGCTAAGAATCTAGCATGGGGTAGGGAAGAAGTGGGGGGGAGCTCACCTTGCTCTGGTTGCAGCGTGGCCG